GTGGGATTGACCGTCACATTATAACACCCCCACGGCTGAAAGGGCGAGCATGTTTGGTGGGATGCGGATTCGAACCCGCGACCCTCAGATTGTGAGTCGAGCGCCTTATCCACCTGGCCATGCCGGGCCTGTTTTGAGTAAGAAATAAGAATATTCTGAAATGGTACAAACATTTCCACACGAACTGTTACCGAAAGAAGTAGAGTCAGTTGTGGACAACAAATTAAAGACTGTAGAATGGTGAAGTAGAAAAGTGCACATTTGAAAAGATTTTTTTTTAAATCTGGGATAAGAAAGAAAGCTTTAATTGGACGGTTCTATATCAAGAAATTAATTATTGTTAAGACTAAATTGCACGTTAAGCCTGAACTTAAAGCTTTTCCCCTTTTTTTTTTCTGGTAGTACTTTTGTTTACTCATAATACATTCTCAAATGTCAGCATAAAAGAAGTCGACTGGAAACAAGTCGAGTATCAGTCAGCCATTATTCTGAAGAGAGAAACACTGAGATCAAATGTTTCACGTCTCCAAAGTTGTAAGTCTCAATTTTCACCTCATTAATGACTAACGATACAACTTGGCTGGACTCTTATGTTCTTGAATTGCATTTATCGTCAAATTGTAGCTAAAAGTATTTTAATTACAAACATTTTACGATTGTACCAGCTTACACCCAGGAGATACTTTAGCAGTTATGTCTGTTTTAAAAATTACTGTTAAGCAGTAAAATAAAATGTTTGTGACATTTGAAGGAATGTTGTAAGCATTTGTTTTTCATGTGTTTTGGTGCTTACAACATTTCTTCAAATGTCGCAAATAATAACAACCAAAACACATGAAAAACAAATGCTTACAACATTTCTTCAAATGTCGCAAATAATAACAACCAAAACACATGAAAAACAAATGCTTACAACATTTCTTCAAATGTCACAAATAATAACAACTTGTTTTTCATGTGTTTTGGTTGTTATTATTTGCGACATTTGAAGAAATGTTGTAAGCACTTGTTTTTCATGTGTCTTAGTTGTTATTATTTGGATAATAATAATATGCCCCCAGTAGCACAGTGCAGATAGCCTATCATGTAGATATGTGCTTAACCACAAACAAATCACACAGACAGGTTCGACTTTTCCCTATAATAATTTAATTTCTCCATACAAAAGGTGTACACGTACGTAGGCTATGAAAGTCACGCCAGCAGTTAACAACCTTTATTCTGTCCATCTGGCAGACTCGGTACAGAGAAACTGATACCATATCATGTAGCAGACTCTTCTCGGTCACAATAGAATTGAAAGAAATCAAAATGAGGAAAGGTTGTGTCAGCTGTAAAATTCTGCTATGAACTTTTTTTACTCTGGAGTTTTAATGTAAAAACTCCCGATGTCAAGATTTTACCGATAGATTGCAGAGTGGAGTTACCAGTGTTTGAGCCAAGTATCAACAAGACTGAACGTGGGTTTATGGCACAAAATCTTATTAAATTATAGGTAATCCATTTCACTGACTTCAAACTTTAGTCCTTAAGGCTAGACTTTTAGTAAGCTTTTCACAACCAGTCTCAAGAAGAACATTTCAAACTGTAAGTACTTTAAGAAACAAAAAATTCCAGTTTCTAAATCAGTAAATTCTCTGAATATTTTTGTCAGTACATCAACAAAATTATATTATAATATGAACTGTACAGCCAGCAGATTTTAATTACGTATAACTTATTAAATCTCAGATATTTGAATGACATCTTTTTGTCACAAACACAGTTTCTATTGTTTAAATGCACCATTTTCTAACTTTTGAAAACAAACTCAATAAAATGTAACCAATTTTTCAGACACAACTGAACTACACATATAGCCCCTTTAGTGGGTGTAATTTTTCTCTAATGCGTCATTTAGCCTGTAATCATGAACACAAAAAACACACAAAACTATTTCCACATCTATATACCACACATGCAAATATTTTTCATCTATTTCACGTCCTATTTTTGTTTATCTCGTTTGTTCCAAGAATAATGAAGACTGGGAAACATTTTCTTAAGTCCAACAACAGCTGAAATTAACTGTGGCCCATTTTTTAAGACGGATCCAATTCTTGGCCTAGATGTAAAACTAAGAGTAGCTTGATTTCTAATGAAAATAACATTCACAGTTACATTGTAGTTGCTTTTCCAAACCCTTCTAATACTTCAGAAAAAAAAATCCGTTTCAAAACTATATATGTATTTTGAAAGTAACAATGATGTGGCTAAAACCAGCTTAATCTTGCGACACTGATTTCATCATTTCCTTCGTGTCTCAACTTTTAGAGTGAAATATGGTCAACCACAGTAATTTCTGATTCATCATCTTCAGGTATTCACTAGGAGTTGGCTCTTATCATCATTAGGTAGTCTTCAGTTGTAGAAGCTGCTAATTTCAGTAACAATGGCTAGACAGGGCACGACTCAAGCAGTACTTGAAATAGAAAGGTCAAAACAAATGAGGTAGTAAGGAATCCAGCCTAAATAAAGAAATTAAGGCTGCTTCTTCCACCATGGACTTTTCTTTGTTCACCGCAAGTCAACTGTTAAACGACTACAGATATAACAGATGAACATCTCGAAGGTCTTCTCGACTTACTCTTCCATATCTTGCACCAGTTGTAACAATTACAACTTTACTCAGAAAAATGCCTTAGTTTTAGTAATTGGTGTAACACCAATCACAATACAGTTGATTATAGGATTCATTCTTCTACATTTAGTCAGTAAATAATGTTCTATGAATCCCTGGAATTGTCTATAACACACACACACACACACAAAAAAAGACTTTTAAAGGATTGTACGACACCACTACTATTATACTAGCTATATAAATTTTTTCAAGGCATCCAAAGTTGTACTTTATGGTTACCATTCATTCTCCGATAAATTTTACATTTTCGTTAAGAATAACTTCACTTTTTCTCGTAAACTTACGGCTTTGTTTGGTTTTAGGCATAGTAAAATTAACCACGTAAAAACGGAAAGCAGTAACAAGTTTCTATTGTCGTCACTAGCTCGTAAAAGTAGGTTATGAGAATTTTTATTCCTTTTGAGCACAGTTCTTTTTTCGTAAAAAAAAGGCGACTATTTTAACTAATTTATTTTAAACTGACTATATCAATTCTTATTGGAGAAACTTGAATGTCATGTGATATAACCGACCTGATTGGATGATTTGGCCACCAATGATGAGCAAAAATGCTTTTGATAAAAAGTTCCTCCAACAAGTATATCAAAAATATATATAACATGATTACAAAGACCACATAATTCTTTAACAATTATGGTCCTATGGAAATACTTTAACAAACTTAAAATTAAATCAATATTAACCCACCCATACTGCCACTTACAGCTTTAAATCTTTTTCCCCAACTCAACCCTCACAAAGGTTTCAAATTTTTTTTGAAAGTGTCTGATTTTATTAATATTTTTTTTAATGAAATGTTTAAGCCTCAAATAAATCTTGTGAAATGGAGAAAAAAAAAAAAAGGAGTTTTAAAACCAAACAAAGCACACTTATCCATGTGTGCCATCATAGTAACATTACAGAAGAAATTCATGTGTTGTCCCCCTCCACAATCGTTAAAAATAACCCCCCATTTTATTCTTGCCACTCCTCTTTGGTTTAAGTGAGGTGTAGCATCAATGCTATGGCAAAAGTTGTGTGTATTCAAAAAGAGTTAGTTGGTCTGGCTAGTATGAGGTGGTTGAGGTGGAGTTGGTATAAGCCCACGACGTCCTGGTTGGCTGCGAGCTACCAGGGCTCGGATGTGGCACTGAGCAGCCTAAAAGCAATAAAGCATTTATCGTTATTTTTCAGAACTTTTATACTAATTACTACACTAAGAGAGATCAATAAACCTGTACATAATATAAAAAAAAAACTTTCAATATATTTTAATTTCAACAAGATTAATCCAAACATCCCAAAACAATGATGACATACTCGTAAAGCAGCTTATCTTAAGGTTTAAAAACAAATAAAACCAGTCATGAACATTAAAAATTTAAACTAAAGCCAATTATCCATCTAGTTGTGTGAACTTTGTAACGAAGAATCAGAAAAATATTTTGAACAAATTATTCGAGCGTAATATCAATTACGTACAACTTAGTATACAAGAGAGGTTAGAATAACATGAGAATAGCGTAGGGTTGGATGATTCTAAATGATCATCTTATAAAGCTTAATGAATATCCAACCATTTTCCTCTGTGTGGCTGTAAAAAGTTCAGCTACAGGGAATGACATTTTACATAACTGAACACAGAACTTAACCCTATTATTCTGTTTTAGAACGTTCACAAGTAGTAGTAACCATTCACTACTTTCTTTATTTTGCCTTCTACATAAAACACTTGGCGTAAAGAACTGAAAAAAACCCAAAAAAAAGGCCAGCAGTAATTAACTGGATTAATTACACGTATTATTAGGGACTCTGTAACCAACAAATTCATGGATGATTAAGCTATTTTCTGCAAACAGTTTTATTTAAAAACCTAATGGAATCCATACTCCACCAGTAATTGGAAAGCTAACAAACTAGAAAATTAACTGCTGTCTGACAGATCTTTAAAACATTTTGTTGCTCAACTGGTCTGATTTCTAAGTGAAGGAATCAACCTCTTTTATAAAAACTTCATTGGAGAGGTAAGCCATCAACGTAACAAAGCTGTCAATAAGTTCAGAGAGAGAGAGAATGTTATCAACACATCTGAGAAGTAATTAGAGGCTTGCAACAAGCATAAGGACTATACAATAAGTCAATCAACTTGTCAGAAGGTTTTAACTTGGGCAAACAAAATCAATCACGGAAGCTAAACTTTAAACAATAACTGATTCAGTAAAACTAACCTGTGAGCTGTAAAAATCGCCAATGATATGGACGGGAGTTTCTTCAGCTTGGGAATTCTGGCTCTCTTCTGGTAGTTTTATCACTGCCTGAGTTATCCGCTGCATTTCACGAACCTCGAGAAAACAGATAATTACATCACCACAATTATTGCATTTTAAACTAATCAGTTTCTAAATTAACTACCTAATTCGTGTACCTACACAAAAATAACAAGTAGTTCGTTCACAGGTTAAAATGTATAATTATTGATCTTTATCAGAGTAGTTCGTTCTCAGGTTAAAACGTAAAATTATTGATCTTTATCAGAGTAGTTCGTTCTCAGGTTAAAACGTATAATTATTGATCTTTTTCAGAGTAGTTCGTTCTCAGGTTAAAACGTATAATTATTGATCTTTTTCTAGAGTAGTTCGTTCTCAGGTTAAAATGTCTAATTATTGATCTTTTTCAGAGTAGTTCGTTCTCAGGTTAAAACGTATAATTATTGATCTTTTTCAGAGTAGTTCGTTCTCAGGTTAAAATGTCTAATTATTGATCTTTTTCAGAGTAGTTCGTTCTCAGGTTAAAACGTATAATTATTGATCTTTTTCAGAGTAGTTCGTTCTCAGGTTAAAATGTCTAATTATTGATCTTTTTTTCAGAGTAGTCCGTTCTCAGGTTAAAATGTATAATTATTGATCTTTTTTTCAGAGTAGTCCGTTCTCAGGTTAAAATGTATAATTATTGATCTTTATCAGAGTAGTTCGTTCTCAGGTTAAAATGTATAATTATTGATCTTTATCAGAGTAGTTCATTCTCAGGTAAAAATGTATAATTATTGATCTTTATCAGAGTAGTTCGTTATCAGGTTAAAATGTATAATTATTGATCTTTATTTTGCTGTTGATTCAGAGTAATATGATCTAAACACACGGTTTTTCTTACAGTATTATTTGTTTTCTTCTTAGATTTTACTCTCCCGGGAAGAGAACATTTTCCAAATGGAAGAATATTCTATTAAAAGTTTAAACTTAGGATAATCAAACAGACTTTGTAAGGCTTAGGCAGTAGGTTACACCTAAATGTGCTGGATTACAAGATAAAAGCCACTTACTGTCTGACCTCCCTTCCCAATAATACGACCGACTTGAGACGTTGGGACGAAGACTTCCACTCTGAGATGTGCCTCCTGGGGTCCAGCAAAGCCTTCGTAGCTGACTTTCTTGTAGATCATGAACTGTGCCTGTAACATGAAATGATTGGAAAAAATTAACCCATAGAGAAAATTATTTTGGAATCTGATAATAGCTCGTTAGCTCTTTAAAAGTATTGGAGATAAAAGTAAAACTTAAAATTTTATGTCCTAATATTTCATAAAATAATCAAGAAACCAAAATACATTTTTTAACTTGGAATTTTTAGAATTTGAGATAAGTTGCAGTAAATAAATATCAAATTTATATACTTCTACATTTAAAAATTATATTAAACTTGACAGTTAAGTGTAATAAATATATATGGTGTGTGAATGTGTATGTTATAAATGTCTCAATATTGTATAATTGACCAAATTCACATATATTTATAGTGTTTAATATGTTACCTGGTACAGAATTTGGGGGTCAATTTTAATAGTTATTCTTTGTCTCAAACACATAATAAGCACCATATTCTTTACACTACACTTCTTCTTAGTTAACCTGGGTTTCACATAACATATCAAGGTGTGTCCATTCACTACAGAAAACATATGTTAACCCTATTTCAGTAATAGTTATTTTTTCAACTTCTAACATTCAAGTTGAAAGCTGTATTTTTTGTTGTTGTCTCATAGTAGTAATTAATAACAATTATTCTTTTAATATACTTGTATATTAATCAGCTGTATAAACTATAAAATAATAGCAAGATCAATCAGCAGAGAAATGGGTTCATCTTAACTGAAACTATTGGGTGAGTTACTGAGCACTAGTAAAAACTGTTGGGTGAGTCACAGCCCTATTAAAAACTGTTGAATGAGTCACTGAGCACTAGGAAAAACTGTTGGGTGAGTCACAGCCCTATTAAAAACTGTTGAATGAGTCACTGAGCACTAGGAAAATTGTTGGGAAAGTCACTGAGGACTAAGCATCAATACATCTTGATATAACCCTACCGACACAGGTCAAAGATCATGTCATTGACTCGCATTTAAAATTTTATTCAAATACTATTTTATGAATTTATGTAAATAAGTTTGGTATCAAATTATAGATTATAATTCAAATTTTAGTATTATAGATTGGTTAATTTCTTAATTTAAAAGTAAATGTTGAAAAAAAAATCTAAATGTCAATTTTTGTGTGTCAAGTGGTATGTTGAATGCAGCATTGGTACAAATTAGATGGTTGTGATGTCCAAGTACAAAGTCTATAGTTTCTTACAAATTAGATATTCAAATTACCAATATTGACAAGCTAGAATGTAAAATAAGAACCTTCTATTTTTTCTATTTTCCGAGATATTAATATATCTATTGAATCAACCAGGGTGGCCCTGCACACCTCTTCCATTTTAAAAATACTTGCTTACGTACACCTACTTCACCCATGACCTGTGTATAACCAATCAAAAGCTCAGAATGTTCCCCTAGAGGTTTTCTCAGCCTCTGCAAAGTATTTCCGAGGTAAACTCTTTCTTTTCATGCTAGATTCGAAGCGATGAGATAAGAAATTAGCGAGCTCGACTAAATTTTTTTAGACCCAAATACAGTTTAGTTACTAAGCTTCAAACATTATAGTATAATTTTGTGGTATTGATATAGTAATTTATGATTTTTTGGTTACTTTAAAATGTATACATAAAAACTAAAAAAAATTACATCCTCCACGTGTGAAATTTGATAAGGCTTAGCAACCTACAGCAAGCAGCAAAGGTCGTAACTAGAGGAGATAATTGTTTGCTTTACTTCTTTATTTACTGTTCTACGTTTTAAAAAAAAATAAGTTTAAGAACTTATTTCTAAATAGCAATAATCTATATATAATGTATAATAATTGAAAATGTGACTGTATTTTACAAAATACTAGTCTACTAAAACAAAGCCAAGACAGGTCAGTTTGTAAAGACTAAAGGCCAGTTTTATATTATTGGATACGGTAATATGTGTGC